GAAGCTGCACAGGAGAGAGGGGATGGGATCCATATTGTTAGACGCAGTCGATTGCTTAGTAACTACAATCGGAACTTTATTTTACGAATTTCACTATATTGCAAACTTTTAACTGGAACCAAGAACATTTGATGATTTTCTTCGATAAATAATCTAGAAATTGCGAAATGAATATTCTACTTAACGTACTTTTTCTCTTGTAATTCTATTTTTTTCTCCCTGTTTTTAAAATATATTTCTGGACACTTAAAATTGTTCTCTATTTTTACACATTTTATGGTAATCAATGACCTTGAATTGGTTTTGCCAGGTGCCTAGCTGACCGAGAGAAATAAATTGTCATAATTCTGAGCATTTCATTACTTCAAACAAAATTAACGCACATTATGAGTAATTTAATTTAAGGACGCATTGTGGTACTTATACTTAAAATTTCTGGTTGTAAAATAGCGTACGTTTAAAATTACTTGTTTGCTTATAATTAGAAAATGTTAATTAAAATTCATTAATTTTAACATAAAATTATTTCTTTGAAGTTGAAAATACAATGAATTCTTGAACATGCCCCCCCCACCTTTACTTTCCTTTCAGATTTCTTTTAGATGGATAAAATATATAAAATAAATAGATATTAATTTACAAAAAATGGTGTCAATATTTTTTTTAATGCTAAAATTTGTTTAATGTGGTCTATTAAGCGTATCGATAAAAGAATCTCTATTTAACGAATTTTCCACGTAAACAACTCTTTTTCGAGATTTAGCGACTTCGTTAAATAGAGATGCGACTGCATTTTGTCCTGTTCATTTAAATAAAAAGAAATGTCCTGGTAGAAACATTCCTCAAAAAACCTGAAATATCACTCTAAATCAAACATGTCAAGCTCGTGGGTCCGCAACCCCGCCTAAGTGAAACATCTTTGAGGTCCATCATTACTGGGCTTTAGCAGGTGGCCGCGATAGCCTAGTAATCATGGTCAGGGACTTGTAGCCGGCACGTTATGAGTTCAAGCCCCTTAGTCACTGAAGACTCATCATGTAGAAGAGTTGATGCATGTTAGCTCCAGGTGTTTGTTGTTCTCGTTACTTGGCCGTGGCTCAAAATTACGAGGTCTGCCGCCAATAGTCCTCTTGTAACCTTATAGTGCAACGTTAATGAAACACTAAAACCGCATTCACACAACGGCAGTCAGCGTCGAGCTTTGTCTATCTAGCCAATCAGAGACTTCATTTCGGGCAAGATGAAGTTTTTGATTGGCTAGACGCTCGACGCTGACAGCCTTGGTGTGAATGCAGCTTTAGCTCGTTGTAGATCATTCTGTCGTATGAGGAACAACTACTATGGTGTGAAGACGCTTTCAAAATGTAGATATCTATGCAAGAAAACCAGGAGCGCAGTGGCGTACACAAGGGATCTTGGTGGGTTCAACTTCCCCCGATCAACAGATTTTATAGGGTTACCCCTTTGTGCTTTAATCTACGTGTTTTTTAGAATGTAGCCCTCCCCCTCCCTCATGAGGGAGGTCTGTTTGTCACTGGTGCTTGTGTGTCCTCCTGAACCGACAATACAGATATTCCCGTTTATGTATGGCAAGAAAACACGAACCAGACATCAAATGGGCCTCAGTACTATTCACTGACTAGTCCAGATTCATACTATTGATTTGAGAGAAAGCGACGCACTAGATACATCCAATCCAACATTGCTGAAAAAGGCATAGTAATAGAGGTGGCGAGATCATGATTTGGACTAGGTCTATCTCGGTGGTCACACTGAACTGCATGTGTCCTAAGGAAGAATTCTGATTGTTGTGCGAGATAGGATGAGATCCTTGATCGATATGTCCGGCCATATACCGCTGCTATTGATAAGATTCTAATTCTGATGGATGATAATGTGCGACCTCACTGAGGTGTACTTGAGGATTGTGGCTTTAAGGCTGTCTTCGGTAAAAGTACGAGAGCTCTAACTAAACGCGCAGCACATTTTCAGACAGAAAAGTGTCCCAATTTCCTTGGAAATTTGCAATATTATAACTTCTACCTCTGTTAACAATATAGTGTTCTTAAAAATTTCAAAATATTCCGTGAATACTTTCTTTTTTGCTTTAATACGTGAAGGCAAAGCCCATTTAGCATTACGGTATAGGATAAAAAATGCGAAACACATTTTGTACCAGAAAGAATGAATCAACTCGGTTAAAAATGGGAAATATGATAAAAAAATGCTGCTCTCTAAAGGATAGTGAAGCCAGAATATATCATATTAATTTTTCACTTCTTTTATATCTGAAAAAATGTTCCAAATTCGGGTCCTATTCTTTAACATTCACCAAAAACAGCCTTAAGCGAGTGGAATAGCCGGCACAAGATCCAGACCACAGACGTTTTCCATATAAAACTGTGATGAACTGCTTTCTCCAAAAATGTATTTTTCTGGCAAGAGTGCTTTTTTTTAGCTTCACACACACACACAAATCCTCTGTTCGTCTAAACCTTACGCAAGTTTCTGTGTCGCATTTAGTAAAAAATTGTTTAGTGGACATTCCCTCTAAATTCCTTATTTGTGTTCTTTCATTTTCAAATCTGGCACAAAAAACAGGTTGTACCTTAACTTCACACTACTAACTTCAGCGTATAGTAAGAAATGTTGAATTAACGTAGTAAGTGGTATAGCAAAACTAAACAAAATATTGCCGACGAACACCCGTATATTCAAGAAAGGTATAAATTAAAGTATTTTACAGGTGTGATAGAAAAGGTAAAATAATTTGTGCTTCATATGTACTAATGTAATTAATGTGTACCAAATTATACTACATTAAAAGTCATTATTCATAATTTAAGCATTCTTAATGAACCACAAGGAACAAAGACCCAAGGGGAATGTAGACTACCATCGTAACTCTCTCATTGAAACAAGGCACTCTACATTCTTAATAGAATTTGAGCCGTGGTAGGAAATGCATTTGATACCCTTGTTCCTAAACCTTAATTGATTAGTGCGGATCCCTTGAGTATAACTATAGTAGTGAATTATTAAGGTGCTATTATAATATATTATATAAAATTATTATAAATATATATTACATTTTTTTGTAATAATAATGAAGGTTTCAAATTTGAAGTTCGCCTCATCTTTGCATAATCCTATTGTGATGTTAACTAAAAATAAGTAAGCAAAAAAGAAATTCCGTATAATACGGCGTACAAAGAGCACTTTTAACACAAACAATAAGATCGAAATTTACGGGTGCGCGTTATACGCTGGGTATAAAAATGAGAGCTTAAAAAAAGGAGCATACGAAAAAATTAGACTTCTACATAGACGATGCACATTTCAAATTTTTTCGGAAAAAAAGGAAGATGCACGCGCGAAACACGGTAAGTAAAGGGTGTTTTTTTGAGAGGCATAGAACTTTAAATTGCAATAAAACAACGATGTATTATTCGATTGACATGAATTATTTTTTATTCGAAAGATAATCTTGTGGCATTACATTTTAAATATGATTTCTGGCATAGGACTGCCACGGCTGGCTCGGATGTAGTCCAATCTGGACGTCCAATTTTCGATGACTTTTTCCAACATTTGTGGCCGTATATAGGCAATAACACGGCGAATGCTGTCTTCCAAATGGTCAAGCGTTTGTGGCTTATCCGCATAGATCAATGACTTTACATAGCCCCACAGAAAATAGTCTAGCGGTGTTAAATCACAAGATCTTGGAGGCCAATTCACAGGTACAAAACGTGAAATTAGGCGGCACCAAACGTGTCTTTCAATAAATCGATTGTGGCACGAGCTGTGTGACATGATGCGCCGTCTTGTTGGAACCACAGCTCCTGGACATCATGATTGTTCAATTCAGGAATGAAAAAGTTAGTAATCATGGCTCTATACCGATCACCATTGACTGTAACGTTGTGGCCTTCATCGTTTTTGAAGAAGGATTCCACCAGCCCATAAAGCGCACCAAACAGTCAGTTTTTCTGGATATAACGGTGTTTCGACATACACTTGTGGATTAGCTTCACTCCAAATGCGGCAGTTCTGTTTGTTGACGTAGCCATTCAACCAGAAGTGCGCTTCATCGCTAAACAAAATTCTCTTATGAAAATCGAGCATTATTTTCGAAATAAAATTGCACAATTTGAAAGCGTTGTTCAGGCGTGATTCTATTCATGATGAATTGCCAAACCCAACTGGGAATAAATCACTTGACAGCTGTTAAATCGGTCACCATCTTGGAAAGTAATGCCAACTTAAACTTCTATACCTGGAAAAAAAACACTCTGTATATCTAAAAATTAAAAATAACAATTTTAAAGTATAAATACACACTTAATTAAAAGAGATTGACCCTATGTATGTTTTCTCAAAAAGACGTTGTAACTTTTCTTGTATCTTTACTGATGTGTTGACTAAATACCGTATAATACGGCGCACAAAACGCACTTTTAACACAAAAAATAAGCTCAAAATTTACGGATACGCGTCATACGCCGCTTATAAAAATAAAAGCTTAAAAAGAATGAGCATAGAAAAATAATAGGGTTCTAAATACTGTTTATTTTAAAGAAATTACATTCCCCTCATGAACATAAAGATTTGTAGTTCAAAAATTATACTATTTTTTTCTAAAGCTGGAATAATACCTCGAATAAATGACTTAAAAACATACCAGCATTGAAAACGTACATTAGTGAACAAGTAATATAAAAAAAAAAATAAGTCAATTCCTACTTATAGGTCAACAAAGAAAAATTTAATTTTAATTACTTTTTATTAAATAGTTACAATTAATATAAATATGTATATACATATGACAGAATCCTATTATTATAAGTTACAAAACAGAAAGCAATTTTTCATTTTCCTTTCAATGTATGGTGTTGGACTATTTTTAGTTCGTTTGTTACTATTTATTTATTAATTAAATTTAATTATTCTAATAAAATAGTATAATAAAAAAGAAATCCCATTCTCAGAAATTAGGCCATCCCAGGAGGGATTCAAGCCCACAACCTTTGGATTAGAAGTCCAACGCACACACACTATCCATTGCGCTATTGGGACACAACGAATGATTTTCCTTTCTATATATAAGCTGTTGGACTATTATTCAATTCCTAATATTAGCTCACACTCTCTATATATTTATTTATCTTGGTGGAATTTTCAATCGTTAATAAAATACATTTTAAAGCGCTCAATTGAGCTGAAATTTTATAAACATGATTATTTTGGATGGCAATACAGTAATTTTTTTAATTATAATTAATAAAAATTAATTGATTAAAACTAATTATTCAAAGAATTAGAAATACAGCTACGTTGGCATCATTTTTGGCTACTTGTGTGAAAACTTTAAAAGGTTTTTTTTTTCTCATATTTTAAAACGCTCATTTGAGCTGAAATTTTCTATACACTATTGTTTTGGGTAAAAATACGATAATTTAATTAAAATTAATTGACTGAAGCTAATTATTCAAAGAAGTATAGATACAGCCACTTTGGTTTCAATTTTAGAGTGACTTGTGTCAAAACTTTAAAAGAATTTTTTCCTCACGTTTTAAAGCACTCAGTTGAACTGAAATTTTATATACACGATTGTTTTAGATGACAATACGATACTTTAATGATTATTAATAAAAATTAATTAATACTTAATGTTGCGATTCTGTCATATGTATATATATATTTATACTAATCGTAACTAAAATAAAATTCTTTTTTTTTTCTTCTCTTTCTGTAAAAAAATTCTTTTTATATTACTTGTTTTTGTTTGTTACTATTTATTCATTTTTTAATTTAATTAATGAATTAATATTTGAAAAAACTGCATTAACATCAAGTGTCATCCACTAGAAGTTTAAAAAAAAATGTATTTGAACTTGAATGGATGAGAAGAAAGTATTTTATTAACGATTAAAAATTTGAACAATATATATATATAGGAAGAGTGTCAACTAATAGGAGGAATTGAAAAAAGGATTGCGCGTTACACGGTGAATATACCTAAAAATTAAAAATTGCGGTTTGAAAGTTATACATCGAATGTTACGCTAATTGAAAAATGTATTTTTTTATAAAGCAAAAAAATTTATTCTCGAAATGATGTATAAATTATAATCATTATGCTGCGTAAATTGATTTTCGATCAGCTTTACTTTCTACAGAAATCTCAGATTTTGTAGTCTCTTAACATAATCTGTACTTACAAATGGAAGAACATTCCACCTGGAGGAAGATCCGCCCTCCCTGGGGCCATGGAACTGCCCTGGGCAATATCAACCCTTTCTGACCCGAGATTTTTTTTTTATGAAATCAAAATGCATCCGAAGAAGTGCGAAATTGCGCAATCCTTGCGCAAAAGGATGCAGATGTTCATTCATGTGCGTGCTTCCAAATCACTTCCGTTCACTTGCCTTGATGATATTGAGTTGCTTGCGTGTCCAAAGAGAGAATTCGCTTTTTTATACACACATGTGTAGTGTTGTTTAATGGGCGTTTAAGCAAACGGAATCCTTTGAAGAACAAAAGATGCGCCATTCGTATAGGTTATTTCCGTGTTTTTACATCGATTTTGACTTCATGTTGCATTTGTAGTTGATTTGAAGAGAGAAAATATATGTGGGAACACACAGAGAGAGAGAGAGTTATAAAATTTCAGTAATAAAGTATCAGCTAATTTTTGAAACTGTGCAAGAAAAACGGAAAAGAATTGAAGAGAGAAAGGTTATTTATACATATATTGATCGGAAACAATCACACAAAACATAACTTTTTGTGCTGTAAAAAATGTTATCTTCATTCTGTCACCTTTATTTATTTACTAGTCAAAATGTCCTTAAAACAATTTTATACATGTATTCTAATCTAAGTGACACTAAATATCATGGAAATTATCCATTTATGCGCTTTTTTAAAATCACGGTTCCGAACGTAATCGGATACCTTAATGATTTTTCTGATTTTATTCATATTTATACTGACGGTTCCAGATCAACGAATCATGCTGGTATCACTTTTTTTCCGCCAATGGGGCTGCGGATTAGTATTTTTGCCCTTGCAGACCTGGTACATTCCCCAGGAGTTGGTATCACTTTTGAGTGCGGCTCCATATAGGCGATACCAATTGCCCCTTACTTGATAGACCAATTACTTGACGACAGTTAGTTTTACTCTTCTATTCAGTTTTTTACACTGAAATATTTGACATTAAGAGAGCGTTAAATCCTGTTTCCAGTAGAAAAGTATTAATTAATTTTTGTCTTCTTGCTTTTTTTAAGTGTTTTAAAATCTTTTTGTGACCCAAATTCATTCTCCCATCCGTCGGTAACTAAGACATTAAAACTAAAGTATTAAATTGTTGTTTCAGCAGATATTTTTCCAGACAGTATTCAAAGGCAGCATAATAGTCAACACTGCTACAAAATCTGCGGCCAGTTTAATTTCCCCAAAGAATTCATACTATGATCTTTTAAAATGTATTTTTTTAATCAACTGTTCATGAATACTGGCAGAATCAATGGAATCTTGAGATTGATAACAAACTTCATAACATAAAGTTCATCATTGCAAGACAGGACGTAATTATCAGAATTACGTCCTGTTGCGAATTGGACACACTAGAATTACACAACCTTTATTGGGGGGAGGGGGAATTCCCTTGCGTATAAAGGGGGATCATTGTGTTTAACCACTCAGGTGAGACATTGAATGTTCCACTTTTATAAGTCTTTCTGCTTCAAATGTTACACATTAATATTGATCGATTTGATTTTTAATTTTTTAAATGACATTAGTTTTTCTTCATTTTAAATAAATAATTTTTGTTACTATACAAAATCAGGTTCTGCATACTTCTAACATATTAATTTATTGTTTTTTAAACACGTGTTGGGCAAGAGGACTCGGTGCAAAGTAATTGAAACCAACCAACCATCCATTCGTGAACTTAGTATCAACTGTAAAAATCAAGAGTTCTGTGGGAAACACTTAAAGAGCGTGCGATCTGAAACGGAAATTAATGAATAAACCCAGTTTATTTTTAGATACAAACAATGATTGATACCTTACAGTTAAATACTGATCGGCCCTAGATAAAACGAAATGAACATCGGAGAGGAGAAATCAAAAAGTGTTAGTGTACTCTTAAGTTACAAGTAGTAATAATTCGTATGCCACTCACCAAACTGCGATGTAGAGGGATTTTGAAAAGCGAGAGAAAGATGCTTGGAGATAAGGTTTGCTATGTCCGTGTTATATCTTCAGAATCCAAGGATTTCCTGGAATACATTATCCAAATTCCAGGATCCCGGGATGCGATTGGACTATTTATTAAAACTACTTACACATTTAGTATGGTTGAAATTGCATAATAAAATTGAAAATATATAAATAAAAATTGGTTTAATTTAACATATTAAACCAATTTTTAATTATATTTTCAATTTTATTTTAATTATATTTTCAATTTTATTTTAATTATATTGAAACAAATTTAAAAAAACTTAGTTCATCATATGTATATATATATAATACATAAGGAAATTTAAAAAAATATTTCCTCATTCCTTGTGTTTCTGTAAATATGCTTTTAAAAAAATTCAACTTGTCCAGCGTTTCATCATTCAAACGGCTTCTTAATTTTGCTACGAATTGGTCTGCCGAAGCAAATGCTCGTTCGGATTTTCTACTAGTAGATGTTATCGTCATTAAATAGGAGTATGTTATTTTCAGGAAATCACCACGTCTTCCTCCATTTTCAAAGGAAGACGTTTCTATTTGAATTTTTGAAGGCAGTGTCTCAAATTTAATTGCATTGGTGCATATACCTCTTTGATTACTTTATCTAGTTCTTCTGCTCTCTTTGATTACTTTATCGAGTTCTTCTGCTACACTTAAAGGTTTTTGTGTATAAATTGATCCAGTTATTGAATTAGAATGTGAATCAGTTTCAAGTGTTACCTTATTTGAAATAGAAGATCCAGTTGCGTCAACTGTTAGTAATGCAATGGCATTTAAAGTGTCTCAAGTCCTTCAAGCAGGTCCATTATTAATTAACGGTATTTCATTGAAGAAGGAACTGTGACAAAATCTATTCTTGAGATGTTGCTTACATTATTGTAGCGAGCCATTTAGATCTTTGCGACGTTCTCCTGTTCGAGAAATGAGAGTGAATTCGGGATTGGAAAAAACACCGGGATCCCGGGGTTGCAAACCCATGCTAAAGAGGGCACTGCATGACCTATTGCAGAGGTGGGGAACCTTTTTACCATTGAGAGGCCACATGTAAATTAAGTTATCGTAAAGGAGGCCGCATAGGTTGATGTACCTATAAATGGGACTTTAATGAAATTATTATAGTTTTTGTATAGTTTAATCAATTTGGTTTATTAAACAAAACATTATTAAAAAATTAAACTCTTATTTACTTATTATTTGACATAAAAATTACAATAAAATATTTTTGTATTCACATAAGGATAAAATTTTGTTATAACGTCAATCTTTAATTATTTCTTATAAAATTATTTAATTCATAGATATCACTGTAATTTTTTTTTACTGTTGGTATTTTTTACTTATGTAAGCATATATATACTAGAGGACCCGACAGACGTTGTCCTGTACACACATCTTAAATTCAAAAATTCCAAATTTTTATGAATAAGCTTTCACAATCTGGACCTTTTTGAGTAAAATTTGTATTAAAAAGTTATTACAATGTAATTATGTGCCAAGTTTTATACTTCTGGGTTGCTTAGAAGTGAAACACACACACAAACTATTTCCCATAAGAAATAATTTTAAATAAAAAAGTTTAATAATGTGTGTAATCAATTAGTTACACAAATAGATTTGTAGGTTAGGATAATTGTTGTCAAAGCACGTGTAAATTTAATAGAAAATCATGTAAAATACTCACTTCAATTGCATACTAAATTTGGAGAATGTATAGTTTTTTATGCACACTTCAAAACTCTTCAAACACTAATTACATCTGAGTGTAATAACTTAATTAACACACGATTTATTTCAACAAAATAATAACACGAAGTCACAAAATA